AGCCTTCTGGTGTATCTACCACTCCTCCCAGTTTTGTGTCGTCAGCATATATAATATTTATATTATATATAATATTTGACGCTAGACCATATAGAGACAAAAATATAAACAGCATGTCTTGACGTTTCCAGGCAAGCTCGCATAAGGCACGCACAAAAGCTTAGCACGGCCTGCAAACATCTCTCCTTCAAGGTGAGGGGAAGGCGGCCCCGGCACCGAGGAGCCCCCTGGCAGAGCTGTGTCTGGTTAGGTGGCAGCAGGCACGGGCAGTGGGTAGGTCTGTGGTGCTGCATGGCTAGAGGCAGCCAAGGGTGACCATGGTTTGGTCGCATCATCCGAGGGACAAGGTGATTTGGGAAGGGGCTGAAGGGTCCGAAGGAGGGCCAGGGAGGTGATCAAAAGTCTGGAGAACCTTGAAGAAGATTGAAGGAGTTGGGTCTCTTCTCACTTGGGGGACCTCATCGCAGTGTTCCCTGTGCTTACAGGGCGTCCACGAAGAGGATGGTGGCTCTTGTTTCACAAGCAGCTGTGTGGAGAAGACAAAGGGCAATGGGTGCAGGTTGCACTGGGAGAGGCTGCTTCTCAACATAAGAAATAAATTTTTTACAGTGAGAACCATCATTTGCTGGAACAACCTCCCCGGGGACATGGTGGAGTCCACATCGCTGGGGGTTTTCAAGACATGATGGGACAAGGTGCTCAGTAGTCCCATCCAGGCTCGCTTTCCCACCAGCAGCTGGGCCAGGTGATCCTTCGAGGTCCCTTCCAGCCTGGGCTGTTCTACGAGACCATCCTTGATAAAACTATTAAACTTTCTCATGACAGCAGGCCTGTAGTCTTAGAAGGTTGGTTGGTTTGAGTCTTTAACTACTCTATAATCAGATTTTTTTCTTCTAATATCTAATTTTAATCTCCATTGTTGCGACTTAAGACAATTCCTCCACCCTTCATATGTACCAAGTGTAACAGATCTCTTTAAAGCAGGCTTTCTTCTATCTGGAGGCCTGCTCAATATCTCTTCCTCTAGGTTAAGCACCACCAACTGCTCAGTTGCGATCAAAGGTAAGATCATTGACCAAATTTTCTAAACCTTTTTGTCTTCTCAGTGACTGTGTCTGTTCTTACCGAGGTTATAAATTTGAGAGATCTCAAAGAGTCCCCTCACACCTGCAGCAGAACCGCCCTGAGGTTGGTGGCGTCACTCCCAACTTGCACTTGGGGGGAAATCTGTGCTAGGATGAGCACATCTGAAACTAAGCTTATTTAGGATTGATTCAAATCCATTAGCATAAAAATAAAACTTCAGGTATTTAGGATTTATGGGGGGGAAGGATGTCAGTAAATAAAACGTTTCTGTATCATTCAAAGAGGTTTTAAAAATTATTTATTTAACGTCCCAGAGATTATTGTCCTTAACTGGAAAAAATCCATGTTCTGAGAAATAAAGAAAATATGATTATAATCAAATTAAACATTGCAATTTGCAGAGTGATTAAAACCAAGCTAACAACCATCTCCAGTATAAAAATAAACTTTTGAATACTAAGATTTTAAAAACATGATTGGGGACCCAACTCGTGTTATGTAGAAGAGAATTTGCACTGAGGTCCCAGGCTATCGCTTCAGTAGTGCTTCCTTCCCAGCAAATCATGGTGGATTTTTCCTATTCTTCCAGAAGCTTATATATTTAGAAATAATATCCTCATAATAATAATAATGAATGTCACTAGAAAAATATTAATGAGAGAGGAGTGCATGTCCTTTGATTATAAACTCCTCAGATCAGTGATGGTATTTTTATGTTTTTGTTGATCTTGGACCATAGCTGAGGTTCTCTGTCTTTCCTTCAGAATAAATAATAAATAACGGTAATAAATACATTGGCTAGAGAGTAGGCTGCCTACTGGAGGAACAAGAAGAGAGCATGGGACGCTGAAATCCTTCTTTTTAACCTAGGTCGTAGCATGGAAAGCAGTGAGAAGGAAAAGCTTTTGCCTTCTCATTAAGGATCCAAATTTACTTTGAGCGTGTGTTAATGCAGCTGTTGGTGTTTCCATCAGGAATTGTGTGTGTGTGACCTGTTCCCGTTCGCACGGAGAGACCAACTCCACGTGTCCACGAGATGTATTTGGGATTATTCATTTCTCTTAGGTTGAGTGAGTTTGGCTCAACCCTCAGATCTGGCTCTTTGAGCTTATCTAATAGTCTGCAACACTGAAAGAGTAAAATTCCTCCATCTCCTGATACCTTTTAAATCACAGTTATCCCCTAAAGACCAACAAAACAGTGGCTCTTAAGTGCTCTCTAATTTTGCAGACAACTAAAGGAGATCCTTTCCCTGACCCACGCATTTCTTCCTGTTCCTCTGGTAATCCACGGCTTAGTCTCCTCGGCCCAAGTTAATTTGTTTTAAATAATTGCTTTCTTCCGTTGCCTGTCGATGGCGGCACTTTGCTACCACCAGGTGAACAGGAACTTGTAGAAGAAGTCGTACGATTTGAAGCGAAAACCTTTTTCAGCGACGTGGGGCTGAAAGGATATTTTGTACCCTTTGGCTTCAACGTCCATTTGAATGCAGTCCAGCAGATCAGAAATACTTGGTGCTGCCTTCCAGGGGCCAAACTTCACCACGGACTTTTTATCCATGTCCAAGCTGTTCAAGGCATCCTGACATCTGCCCATATCCTCCTCCGTTCTGACCACGCACACGATGACGCTGGACCGGCGGGATGCGACCGCTTCCGCCCTCGCGATGCGGATCATCAGTTCGATGTTCTCGCTGTAGTTGGGCACACGAGCCAGAAACTGCTTCCTCGCCACGAGCTCCCCGAAGATCTGCGGGGAGTCCTCTAGCTGCTTGATCAGAGGTTCGATGTTGTAGAACAACGCCTCCTTGTAGACGTCCTGGATGCACTGGGTGGGCACTTGGTTGCTGCGCAGGTACTCCAAGATGTATTTGAAATAGGTGCCAGGCCTGTCGATGAAGAACCTCCCTTCGGAGTCGGTCCGGAGTTTGGGCTGGCCGGTGAACATCTCTGCCAGCTTGGAGCCAGGGTGTTTCTTTAAGGTGCTCAGCGTTGTCGTGTACATCTCCCCGCCGACGTTTAACTCCACGATTGGTGACAGCTGCAAGTATCACAAGGGGACAAAAAGCCACGTGTGTTACCTGTCTGAGGCCATCAACATGGAAGTGTCAAGGAAAAAACAAAATGCGATTGTGGCTGGAAAACGGGATGATGGTGTGAAGAGCGGGGGGTTTTACAGCTGGGAACACTCACCCCATCTATTGCTAAAAGCAGAAGCAGGACGTTTATACGGCCCTCATAACCAGAACAGCAGAGACTTGGACATTCCTAAATGGCTGAGTCCTCACCTCATCTTTGGGACGTAGGAAAGTGTCATTTTGCTGGTGGGGAAGAGGGACAAGAAGTACCCTGCCCAGGGAAGCTGTCAGTGACTGCAGGATTTGACATCGATCTCCTGAGTCCCACACAAGAATTGTCCCTGTTGGCTCTTCTCCTTCCAGTGAGAGTGACCTGAGCTGTCACCTTCCCCGTGTGCAGAGGGAGAAGGACCGAGCTCAAAGCTCTGCAACTCCACCCCTCTCACCCGAGCTGGTGTTTTCTCTTCAACGGAGGAACTAAAGCTCTTTGAAACTTTAGAAATGGGTGAAACTGGCTTCCACTCGCCTGGGGGTTTAGTTGTAAATACTGAGCTAAGACACAAAAATTCAGCATGCCAGAGGTGGGGCACCGAAGCTGTTTATCAGAGCACGTTAAAAATGTATGATAGGTTTAGCTAGGAAGTAAAGGAAATAATTCATGCAACTGACGTGGATTAAAGAAGGAAGATGGTTCAGTGCTGAAGAGTTTTAACAGCCTCCCTTTGCACTCAGTTGTTTTTTATAGTACAAAGTAGAGGACAAGGAGAGGGCAGAAAGGAGGCAGTTATTTTCCCTCCCGCCGTCACTGCTGTAACGCAAGTCACATGCCTGGCCAGGGCCGCACCTGCCATTGGGAAGGCGTCAGTCAGCAAACAACCCTTTTTTCCAGGAGCTCACCTGCGCTTTCTTGGATCCAGTCACGCCAGAATCTGCTTCAGCGCTGCTGGTCACATGCGTCAAGCGAAACGTGTACTTAAGTGCTTAGCTGGGTCCCACAGGTACTGACCCACAGGGTGACGTGAGCTGATCTCGCAGCTCCTGCTCCCCTCTCCCCTTTCCATCCTTGTACCTGCCTACGTCTTTCTGTTGCTCACCTCGTGCCAGCTCTGCTTCTCCTTCATCTTATTGAGCTGAGGCTCACAGGGGATTTAACAAGCAAAAAGAAGGCAGTAGGAGCAGACAACCCAGAGCAGGGGGAGACCTTCCCTCTAAAGAGCAGCAAGCTATCAGATTTCGCAGAAATTTGCTCACAGCCTAGGCAAGCCAGGGAAAACCATCAGATTCAAGCCAAAGAGCCACCTGGAATATTGCTTTGCCCCAGTGTGGATGGTTTCATCTCGAGGGAAATCATTTGCACTAGAGCCAAGGAAACGTAAAAATTTGTCTGAGACTATTTGGTGGTTTCCACCCACTGAAGAATGTAGCCCAGAGCTGTTTCTTTGATAAAGCCTCTCAGTTATGAAACTTGTCATTAGTGCAAGTGATGACAGCTTTCCCAGGGGAAATCTTTCCCAGGCAGGGATCGTTTTGCAGGAGGGTCTCGTGCTTTTGAGCCTTTGCTCCTTTTTCAGCTGGCAGGTCAGATATTTCATGCTGTTTGTCACTAATACAAATGGATAACAGCTTCTTCGTTGATACAGGAGCCCAACTAACCTTGTGTTCTCAGATGTTGATTAATGGTTTTAGCCTGGCACCAAACTGGTTCCCAGTGAACTGGGACTACTGGCACCAGCTAATTCCCAGCTCTGCAATTAGCCAGCAAGGTGACACTGAGGAAGTCATTCCACCTATCTGTGCCCCAGTTTATTAACCTGAAAAATAGTTACCTCCTCGGGGAAGCATTTTGCAACCTGCACCTGAAAGGCACAGCATAAGGAGGTTGGATTCGTTGAAGACAGAGAGATCTGGGGGAGAGGCTGTAGGGCTACACCAGAGAAAGCAAGCTGGTGAGCGACAGACTGAGGGCAGAGGAGAGGAAAAGAAAAACTCGTCACTGACTCCTGCCTAGTAATATGCTACTTGTCTTGAGATTGCCATAAGTTTTCCTCAAAGCTGGAAAAACTACTGCTCCCAGCTGATGATTCTGCACATCTACAACACAGGGCGGCTTTTGCATCATTAGAGGCTCTAAGAACTATTGCAACCCCCCAAAACTCACAGCGGGTTTTTATTTAGGGATCTGACAAATTGAAGTTCACATCAAATTAATTCCACCTCATGTCAAAGGAGAAAAAGAGCCGCTCTGGTTGTTCGCTGTGCCGGATCCTGTGTGCCTGCGAGGGACGTGGCCCTTCTGCAAGCAAACTGGTGCAAACAGGTTGGAGTCAGCCACAACTTTTTACTTATAGTCCTCTTCTTGGTCACACATTTGGCAAGCCCTGGTGTCTTCAAAATAGCAGATGGGAGGGAAAAAAAGCCCACTGATGTAGCCCAAAGGGGATGCTCTGATCCCACAGGAGGAAACTGTGCTCCCCGAGCCGTACCTTACTCACCGTGTGCAGGTTACCAGTGACCTGCTTCCCCAGGGGCTTGTGCTCTGATGAAATGCTCATCCTACCCAGGAGGTGACGGCTCAGCAGTGTGGGAGAACCTGCTCGGTGCTTGGCTCCTGCCCCGCACGCAGGACGGCTCCTTGCCACGTTCTGATCCTCTCGTTT